TTGAGGAGGGAAAGTTTATTACCTATTATTGTTTGTAGTTCACCATCCGGGGAAGTCAAGACAGGAGCCTGCAGGCAGGAATTGAAGCAGAGGCCGTGGAGGCACATTGATTACTCCTCCTGGCTTGCTCAGTTTGCTTTCTTAGGTCATCCAAGACCACATGCCTAGGGATGACACCACCCACGATGGGCTGGGCCTTCCCACATCAATAATCAATCAAGACAGTATCCCATAGGCTTGCCCAGTAGTCAATCTTTTTTTTGTTTTGTTTTGTTTTTGTTTTTGTTTTTTTTTTTTGAGACAGGGTTTCTCTGTGTAGCTCTGGCTGTCCTGGAACTCACTCTGTAGACCAGGCTGGCCTCAAAATCTGCCTGCCTTTGCCTCCCGAGTGCTGGGATTAAAGGCGTGCACCACCACCGCCCGGCTTGCCCGTAGTCAATCTTATAGAAGCAGTTTCTCAATTAAGATTTTGTGTTTCAAGATATGTGTCTTCCTGGATTCGTGTCAAGTTGTCAAAACCCAACTGCCACAGGGATGGAGAAGCACGACTTAATTCAAAGGAATCAAGCACTAAGAGTTAATGCACCATTTAACAAAATACTAGAAATCAAACGCCTATGCAGCAAGTACTCAGGCCAATAAATAAAACAGTGCCAGACCTCCAGAAGGTTCCTTTCTTTATTTCATTTTAAAAAAATGTACTATGAGCGTTTTGTCTGCGTGAATATCTGCAACATCTGCATGAGTTGCAAATGTAAAGAGGGATCAGATTTCCCGGGTCTAGAGTTACAGACAGGTGTGAGCTGCCATCCGTGTTGGAGCAGGGAATTGAACTCAGGCCCACTGGAAGAGCAGACAGTGCTCTTAACTGCGGAGTCATCTCTCCAGCCCCCAGAAGGCTCCTTTCTGACTACAAGCCTCCCTATTCCCAGAGGTAATCACTGTCCTTACTTTTATGCTTATCATTTTTGCATCTTGGTGCCTTACTTGTGTTTGGGAAATACTTATAGCCCATATTTCAATAACTTAATCTGTAGATCTTTCTGGACCTTCAGGGAGGATTTTAATTTTTCTCTTTGTGGTTCAAGCTTTCCTGCCTGGTAGACAAACGCTCCATTGTACCGCTGCAGCCCCAGCCCAGGAAGGAAACTTTAGATAAAGCTTCTCCTACCTTCCACTTTCTCAGGTTGGAACTTCCTTGACTGAATGCAGTTATGAAAATGCAAACTTGAGATCTGAGCAGGAACAAGACAATGGCCGGATATTCTCATTGGGAAAGTGTACTGTTATAGATAGTTACTTAATGCAGGAGTTCATCCAATGGCAAGTGTCTTCCTGGTATTTTTTTTTTCCCTCGTGGAAGCCAAATGAACAGAAAACACTTATCTATCATCTTTAGGGACAGTCTGACTATGTACAAGATATCCCCAAACATTGACATTTGTAATAAAGTGTGAAATATACAGTATTTTATACATGGCTAAGGTGGCTGTGTAGAATGTTTGTTTGCAAAAAAGTTCCTCTTCTCTGTATTATCTTATACATGACTGGAAGTGGAAAGGGGAAATATCTTCTTCTTCTCCTTCTTCTTCTTCTTCTTCTTCTTCTTCTTCTTCTTCTTCTTCTTCTTCTTCTTCTTCTTCTTCTCCTTCTCCTCCTCCTCCTCCTCCTCCTCCTCCTCCTCCTCCTCCTCCTCTTTCTCCTTCTCCTCCTTCTCTTCTCCTTCTCCTTCTCCTTCTTCTTTTTCTTCTTCCTACTACTACTACTAATAAGCAAATGGTGCTGGAGAGAAGGTTCAGTGCTTAAGAACACTGGCTACTCTTCCAGAGGACCTGGGTTGGATTCCCAGCACCCAAATGTAGCTTATAACCATCTGTAGCTCTAGTTCAAGGGGATCAGATGCCCTCTTCTGGCCCCCATTGGAATCAGGTACACAAATGGTGCACAGGAGTAGACGTAGGCAAAACATTATACCAAAAAGTGACACATGTTTAAGTAAGATTAAATTTATGAAAAACACCAAATCTATATGAAAAGCACTATAAAATATCATTAAAATATATAAAATATTAACAAAGGGAAATATATTTGTTTTGAGATTAAGTATTTGATGTCAGGATGTACTGGCCGGTTTTGTGTGTCAACTTGACACAAGCTGGAGTTATCACAGAGAAAGGAGCCTCCCTTGAGGAAATGCCTCCATGAGATGCAGCTGTAAGGCATTTTCTCAATTAGTGATAAAGGGTGGGAGGGCCCATTGTGGGTGGTGCCATCCCTGGGCTAGTAGTCCTGGGTTCTATAAGAAAGCAAGCTGAGCAAGGCAGGGGAAGCCAGCCAGTAAGTAACACACCTCCATGGCCTCTGCACCAGCTCCTGCCTCCAAGTTCCTGACCTGCTTGAGTTCCAGTCTTGACTTCCTTTGGTGATGAACAGCAATGTGGAAGTGTAAGCTGAATAAACCTTTTCCTGCCCAGCTTGCTTCTTGGTCATGATGTTTTGTGCAGGAATACAAACTCTGACTAAGACAAAGGATATGAAGTTTTTATGCTGGCCTGGTAGCATACACCTGTAATTCCAGCATTCAGAAAGCAGAGGCAGGAGGATCATGAGTTCAAGGATAACCTGGGTTACATATAGAATTACAAGGTAGCCTGGGCTATATAAGATCCTATCTTCAAAACTAAACTAAACTAAACTAAACTCAACTCAACTCAACTCAACTCAACTCAACTCAACTCAACTAAAACAAACAACTAACAAAATCTTAAAGGTCAAGTTCATTATTTTGTCTCATTCTCTGCCTGGTATAATTTTCCTGACTTATACAACGAAGTGGAACAAAATGGCAATATTAGTGTAAGAAACAATGATAATTTTACTGTTACCTTCAGGAGTTCACTCCAAATGGCAACCCCAGCCTCTCATCCAGTACCACCTACTTTCAAACTATGGTGTCAGGTGGTAAAGCATGCTGCAGCGGAAGCTGGACTCATTTTCCAGCAGTCCCCAAAAAGTGACATCTGGTTTTAGAAACAGTAACTTTTCCTGATAGAATGATCAGATGTTTCTAGGGATATCTTTGAAGAAATCCAGAAAAGTGTGTGGTAAATATCTTTTCGTCACTTGATTTGGATCTCATCCTCTATGTGAAGGAGGATCTTTGGTAACACCTCCCACCTCCCCCAGCCCTGGAAAGGAGAATTGGCCAGGAAGCTTCCGAGTTAGCCGCACTTCCGTCTTTCTGTTTCTTCCTCTTTCAATGCCGTGGTTATTGTCTGTTGTTCCACCTCCTGGAACTGACATCTTCCTCTGAACATTTGCAGCTGTTCTCATGAGCTCTCTGTCCTCAGGTGGCCCCACTCTTACAAACAAATGGTTCCTTTTGCCTGGGGCACACTTGATTTCTTTTCTGGACTTAGCTGTGATTCCTGGACCTTATACTGCTTTTTATTGTTTACAGGGAAGGGCAGAGATATGATCATTGTACAGGCAATCGGATGTGCCTGGGAGTGTGGAAAGAGCCTGTGGTCTAAGACTGTGGACCTCCATTTCCCTCCATTACAGACACTCATTCCATAGCCTAGGGCCAAAGGCAGTTTAGACACCACTATTGGGAAGACTCCATCAGACCGAACTTTTCTTATGTGTTCCTTTCCTATATGGTCATCCTCCCATCCTCATTCAGTCTCCATGTGACTTGCTCAGTTGTGACAGAACTCCCATTCTTGTCCCATACCCTCCCAGTCCATCCATCGGGGTAGAATACAAGAGACCCCCAGAGGCAGCACAGTGTGTTTGCTGTGTTTCTGCATGTGTCTCTTTCCATTCAGGAGTTTCTGTTCATCCATCTTGGTTTTCAACATCCTCACATGAGTCTCAGTTACACTATGCTAAACACTGGTTACCCTGAGTAGGGGGGTTGGGGTTAAACAGAGAAGAGCGTCTTTGTCTCTGAAGACTCACAGATGATAACCAATTGGAAGACTTCCAGTTTTTAAGTCTTAGGTGGCTTGGTTAGGATGGAGATCTTGGGAGACGTCAAAAATCAGGCTCATAAAATAAGCACAGGCAGGAAGGAGGGCAAGGATTACTGATACCACGAACGGAGTGCTCCATGACAGCAAGTTACAGGAATCACCTGGAACTAGTACCTGGCTCTGACTTGCTTAGGGTAGATGTCTATTATAGCCTACCCAGGACCCTTTTCCTGTCTGTGGCCAACCTTGGGGCTATGAAGGACTACTTACCCAAGAACAATGTTACTATGAAATTAGCCTTGAATTGACACAATGTCTTAATGACACCAAGAAGCATCTAGTTACTTATGGCAGCGACAATTGGGGGCAGGGAACTTGGCAATGGCTTATAGGACAGCTAGCTATTTTCACACAAAACTTTTCATGTTACCTATCTCCCTCCATAGGAAGTCTTGACATCCAAGTTGTATTTGGTTCTCATGTTAAATGTCACCATGTTCCATCTCTTTTCCAGAGGCCCTCAGCTATGAGACACCATATCAAGGGGCTTTCCTGGACTTTGTCCTATGGCTATGTTGGCCAGACAAATACCACCTTTGATCCTAGGACGTGATACATCCCCTTTCTACATTCTGTATGTGTTTAGGGGTAATAACGGAGTTGGCTGTGGCCAACCTTGGTTTCCTCACTTGTATTGTCTCTGAAGCCTCCTCTGTTCCTAAAGTAGGTTAGGGACATCCTGCTTCCTAGAAGTAGCCCTAAAAGAAAGGAAGGTTTGCCAAAGCTGAGTGAGAAGCAGTATCACGTGTGGAACTATATGGACAGAAAACAATACTTGGTATTGACTGGATACAGGAGGCAGGATGGAGGGAAGCTGGCAGGGTCAGTGTTTCTATCTTGGCATAAGCACGTCTTCATCATCATCTTCCTAGAGAGATGGCCTGGTGCCAGGGGACCGGAGTCCTTCTTCATAAATAAAAGCAGGTGAAGTGAACGGTGTCCACATTTCAAGGTCTGGGAGCAGCCAAAATGGTGCGTTTTGTTCCTTTGTTCCTGGTGTATATTTCGTTGCCGGCCTTTCAAGCCACAGAGCTTACAAAATGTGAGGTGTCCCACGCCATTAAAGACATAGAGGGTTATCAAGGCATCACTTTGCTTGAATGTGAGTTTCCACGACTTCCTCACTTCCTTCCATTCCCACCTCTCCCTCCTCCTCCTCTCCCTCCTCCTCTGTCTCCTCGTGGTCTCATAGCTCTCTTCTTGCTCTGTCTTGATCTCTTTTATTCAATTAGTTCTCCTGCCCTTCCTGTCTCCCATCCTCTGGCCTTTCTCATTTCACCAAGTTACTCTGGACTTCAGCACTTTTAGAGATGGGTTGAGAAGCCTCCTCCCCAACTCCCGCCTGGAAACTAGTGTCTCAATTATGCCGCCCTGAGACATCTCTGAGAAAGTTCTTTCTTTTGTCTCCCTCAGGGGCCTGTGTTTTATTTCATACCAGTGGCTACGACACACAAGCTATTGTAAAAAACAGTGACAGCACAGAGTACGGACTTTTTCAGATCAGTAACAGATTTTGGTGCAAGAGTCTCGAGTTTCCTGAGTCGGAGAACATCTGTGGCATCTCCTGCGACAGTGAGTATCCTCTTTCACCATGCTCTTCTGTATCCCTACAGCCTGCCTCCAAGTCCTCTGAGGTGTCTCCTTATTGGTACCCAGCGTGTCTCAGGTGTGCTGGGTACCGTGTGACTTGAGATGGCAGTGCTTAGTAAGAAACTGGTCACTGGTCATGATCTCCACATGCTCAGAGGGTCCCCCTAAGGTTCAGGGAAGGGTAGTTTGAGACTCTAGTGAGTCTTCAAGTCTCATATGCTGTATTTTCAGGGTGTGATGAAACTGATGATTTTTTGAGAGGTGTCTTAGGGAAGGGAATGGAGTCCCCACCGAGGGGAGGCATTACTAGATTGGCCATTTCATATAGAAAGTCCCTAGGTCAAGCCTTCAGCTCATAACCAGTCCCCCCGATCCTGGGACTAGTGGAACCAGTCCGCTGAGCTGGACTTCTTTTTTTTTTCCCCCCTTTGGTTTTCCGAGACAGGGTTTCTCTGTGTAGCCCTGGCTGTCCTGGAACTCACTCTGTAGACCAGGCTGGCCTCGAACTGAGAAATCCACCTGCCTTTGCCTCCCAAGTGCTGGGATTAAAGGCATGCACCACCACCACCTGGCTGAGCTGTACTTCTTCTTTGACTTGTTCCTTCCTGCACTCTGTTAGAGCTCCTGGATGATGACCTTGCAGATGACATAGCGTGTGCCAAGAAGATCCTGGCTATCAAAGGAATCGACAACTGGTAAGTCATCGCCTTTGCTCTGCCCCGGAGAGCGTGCTCTGCCCCGGAGAGCATCAGCACTTCCCTCTCCAGACCGTTTAATCTTGGATGGAGTCTCCAAAACAAAAACAAATTGAGAGTCCCAAAGGTATATATTTAAAATGCTCTTTGGTGTCATTCTTGTGTGACAACTTCCCCAATATGACGTTCCCTGTTGGAAGACTGATGTCCAGGACTCTCTCCCCCTGGCCAGTTCTCAGTCTTAAAGCCCTTGGTATTATTTCACATGTTTCCTAATCTGAACTTTTATTGATTTTATTATTATTATTTTGGTTTTGAGAGATTTTTTATGACTGTGTGTGTGTGTGTGTGGTGTGTAACCCTGGCTATCCTAGAACTAGCTCAGTAGACCAGGCTGGCCTCAAACTCACAAAGATCTGCTTACCTATGCCTCCCGAGTGCTCAGATTAAAGTCATGCACCACTAGTCCTATTCTTACTGTTGTTGTTGTTATAGTGAGCCCCATCTTACTTAGAAGCCCTTGCTGTCTATCTCAGAATGTCTGTATTTCTTCTCTACACCCTTTCACCTCACCCTGAGGATGAACCTTAATGGAGCTTTATGCTAGGTACTGCCAACCACCAGCAAGAGGGGAGAACGTGTGTGCGTGTGCATGCGCGTGTGCGTGTGTGTGTGTGTGTGTGCACGCGCCCACAAACTAAGCAAAGTACAATGATATACATGTATCAAAATATCATAATGGAATGGTTATTTGGCATAGTTAAGTTAAATAGAAAGTTCCAGCCAGCCCATTCATTTTGTCCGCTCCTCCATGAGCAGGAAGGCCTACAAGCCCATGTGCTCTGAGAAGCTCGAACAGTGGCGCTGTGAGAAGCCGTGAGCTCCGGTCCTTGCGGCTCCTGCCCGGTGTTCGGGGACGCCTCTTCCCTACGGCTACCTCAGTTTGGCTCTTTCTATCCCCATGAAGATGATCTGTCTCTGAGCCTTGTGCCCTGTAGTGACACCACTGGACTCTAGAGGACTTTTTTTGATGGGAGTGTGACTGGCGCACTGGACTGCAAACCCTTGCTTAGTGACAGTGGCGAGGGTCTTGATGGCGGACTCACGAAAGCAAGAGAGCCCTCTCCTGTCCTGAATAAAGGGCCCGACTTGATGTGTCTGTCGGTGTTTTCTTTCTACAGGGAAAGGGTGGAAATAGGAAGGGGCTCTGAAGCTCCAGGTCATAGCTACTCCACTCACTGCTAAAGGAGTAGAGTGAACTTACCACAGGAACAGTATTTTCTGTGTCAATTTATTGGTCATCCAGCAACTACAGGGGATCTAAAACTGTTAAAGGCATTCATCCTATGAAGTCCAGTAGGAGAGACAACGCAGATAGTTGTAATACAGGGGGCGTTACAAGACTAATGAGAGGTTAGAAATATGGCACATGCTTAGTTCTTTAAGTGACTCATGCGCATTGGTGTTTACCTGTGTGTATATCTGTGTGAGGGCATCAGGTGCCCTGAAACTGGACAGGTGTGATCTGCTATGTGGTTCCTGGGTCCTCTGGTTGGATTAAAACACTGAGCCATCTCTCCAACCCAGCCATGCCTATTCTTAAGAGGAAAGATAATTTGCATTTGTGGAAAATGGAAAACGGAGATCAAGAAAGCATTCAGGGGCAGGGGAATTAGCTTAGTGGATAAAAGGCTACCTGAGCAAGTATGAGGACCCGGGTTCGACCCGTAGCACTTATATAAAAAGCTGGGCATGGTGGTGTGTGCTTTCGGTTTTAGTTCTGGGGAGGTGGACACGGGCAGATCCCTGGGGGTTTGATGGCCAGTCAGTCTAGCCTAATCTGTGACTCCCAGATCCTAGTTCAGAGACTTTGTCTCAAAAAAACAAAAACAAAAACAAAAACAAAAACAATGAAGTTGGTTCCCGAGAAACGAAACCCCAAGTTAACCCCTGGCTTTCACACTCACATGTACATATGTGTACCGGATACAAACACACATGTACCTATACCTCAGCTCCCACAGAGGATGACAGTGGTGGATTTTTTTTTCCTTAGCATCTTACTACATAGCTTGGTCCTGAACTTCCATTCATTATCCTTCAGCCTCAGCCTCCAGCACACTGGGATTACAGGCGTGAGAGGCCACACTTAGACTATCAGGGGTGGGATTTAACTGGATTTGGAAGTATAGGTGGGGTTTTGACAGGATGTGGGGTGGTGGACATTATAACAGAATAATTATGAGTCAGCAGATGATCCAGGGAGCTGAGAAATTTCTTTACTTTTTCAAGATGAGCTGTGACAAGACCTCTTCTCTGGAAATCACATATATACAGGATATTATGAAGTTATCAATTCCTAAGAATTTATTCACATGTGGCCTTTTGGTTTGGTCTTTCTGTACCACGTGTCTTGAACCTTGCTTGCAAACCTTTCCTTATTTTGATTGTAGGACGTGGCATGGACCAGATCCAGGCCTTGCCATTTGTTTCTGCTTCTCACTGCAGGGCTGAGTGTCAGTCACAGCAGACAGAGGGCTGCTCACCTTTGTCCCATGTGTGTGACCTGCTTTATCTTAAGAAGCTTTGGGGTAGGTGGTTTTCTGAGATTTCCTGTTTCAGAGCTGCAAACCCATAATTCGATTTGCTACATTTTGAATTAGCCGGGAATGAAACCTTGTCTCTTTCTATCTTCCAAAGATCTCCTCTGTATTAGTTACATTTTTAAAATAGATGTGACAACATTTCAGATAAAGCTTAGGGGAGGATGGGTTTAAACGGCTCTAGGTTTGAGGGTGCAGCTCCCTGTGGCAGGGAAGCCTTGGTAGCAGGACTGTAGAGAAAGCTGGCCACACTGTGAGCAGTTAGGAAGTCAGGAGAGCTGACTTACATTCATTTTCTTTTTTATTCAGTCCGGAACTCTAGCTCATGGGATGAAGCTGTCCACGTTCAAGGCATGGTCTTTCCTCTCTACCTAAACACTTTGGGAACACCCTTATAGACACCCAGAGATATGTGTTTCCATGGCAATTCTAAACCCAGTCGAGAGACAATGGAAACTATTGAACTACCCCAATACCCTTGGGGCTTCAGACAGGTCATGCTTCTCTTGTCTTAGCAGTCTAAATGAAGCTCCTATGTGTAGGAAATCTATAGGCACAAATGAGATGTGTGTGTGTGTGTGTGTGTGTGTGTGTAGATCTGCCTTGTATTTATGAAAACACTCCCAGGAAATAACTGGTATCCATCATTACACTATGGTGTACATTTGAACACACTATGATGTCTTTCCTGTGACACTGCGTATCTTTCCCATCCTAGTCATGGTACAAAGGCGTCTTCAAGTCCTCAGGGTTTATCCACGCCCCAAGCGAAGGTGCGTGTGAGAGGGCAGAGTTGGAGGCTCATTTTGCTCCCCTGAACTTGCATGTTTTCCCCTTACCCATTAACTCGCCATAGCTGCAGCTTCAGATGGCCTCATGGTTGAAAAATATAAGGAACCAGCTCTGCCAAATGGCTAGAAGAAGAAATGCCACCAAAGCTGGGTTGCGCTGATGAGCGACATGGTTTAGGCCGTGTCGGCTGCTTTTGCATTATTACACACACACACACACACACACACACACCTCATTCACCTCATTTGTACCTAGGAACTTCATTTAGGAGCTGATGACTGCTAAGAAAAGCATGACCTGTGGAATACTTGAGGTGGCTATCTCATAAAGAGATGAGTTTATTAGCTCCATCGTCTTGGGGATTCAAAGTCCAAGATCTCACAGTATGGCTTCACAGTATGAGGATGGTGAAGAGCAGTGGGCCACTGCAGGAGTGCACGTGGGATCAAGTGTGGGATGGTGGATGGAGGTGCCTAAGACACAATGTTATAGATGGCGGATGGCTTTGCATAAGATACAGTGTTACAGATGGCGGATGTTGGTGTATCAGATCGAATGTTACGGATGGCAGATGGTCGTGTATCACTGCAGGATTGCACATGGGATCAAATATTACCCCCTCCAATGGAGGAACTTCACAAGGAAGACAGGAGAGACACGATCATACAACTTTGCTCTAGGTTGGGGGAACAAGAATCAGCATGGGAGCCAGCATGGAATCATTTTTTTTTTTAAATCCAGTCATTTATTGCTATGGAAGGTTATCATACACATGCATGCATATCCCTGTTATGTATCAGTATTGTAGAGAAGTTTTAAAATGTACTTTCCCTCAGTTCAGTTTTTGTGTGGTAAATAGAAAACCACTTCGTGAATAAGGCACACTGATAATGTTCTTTTGTACAAGCGACAGCAGAAGGTATTTAAGGCCAACATTTGCTGCCTGCAGGCATACACTTGTGCCTAGTCTGTTCTTCTTCCCCCCACTAGCTTGTGTGTTTTATTTATTCAACAATTAATATGGCATTCACAGAATTATGAGTTGTCTTGTGAAAATAAATGTTATCTTTGTGATTCAGTCAAGCACGATCATCCTGTCTGACGACAGCTAGCACTAGCTAGCTCCTCTCCCTTTCCTTCTTCCAAGTGAAATGATGTCACCTCACATGGGATGATGAGGGAAGTGCTTTCTTCCTCTCCTATGCATGTGTCCTACCACTAAGCCACACTGTACCTGCTTATGGCAGCAGACTTGACATAGACAGTCCTCTTGGCATCTAGAAAGAAGCAGGATGGGAACCTGCGCCTGTCTGGAAGACAGAATTCTTGTGAGCAGAATGTCCCAGAGGATAGCAGCTGGGCATTTGTTCTGCTTCTCCAACTCCTCTTTCCTCTAGGTCTGGAATAGTTCTGAACCTCAGGTGGGAGGTTCAGGTGGGAGGGGGGAAGGCTTGAGGAAGACCTGTCCTAGAGTTTGCTGAGCTCTCAGTGAGGACTCAGGATAGTGCTCCACAGGAAGGAGTGTCTCTCCTCTTCCAATTTCTCTTCTAGGATATTTTCTCTGACACATTTGCTGTGAAGGCAGTGTTCATTTTCAGATGTTCTCTTCCTTCCCTTCCTCTCTCCGTCATTCACTAGTCTCTGTCATATATCTAATGTAACTATCAAGTAACTATATACTAGACCACAGGGACACAGAAGCTATTAGAAGTTCTGTCCTCACGACACTTAAAACTAGCTTGGTCCTCACCTTCCTCGTCTCCTAGGAGCATACAGGAGAAGGGGATCTTCAGATGGATTCACTACTTCTTCTTCATTCTATCCCTTAGGTGGTTCACAACTAATTACTGTGGATTTGGTGAGCCCTGCTCTGAGTACTGCTTTTATGAATGAAGACAAGACTCTAGAGACACAATTAATTTGTTTCTTTTTCACTTACTTGCAGGTTTAGATCTTGCAATGGATTTTTTTTTAGGGGATGGTGGTAGGGAAGATGGGAACAAATGGGAATTGAGTCTTACTCAGGCAAGGTGCTACTTACCCGGAACGTGGCACTATCCTCGCTGGTGGTCTGACAGGTGAATTCATAAAAAACCGATAGCTGTGGAAATGGCTAGTGAGGCTCCGAGGATTTCCTAATGTATTAAAGTGAGTCTTTTGGATGGCTCAGGTGTCATCGGCTCTATTCTGGAGGTTTCCTAATATCCTGCCACTAGGGGGCAGGGCAGCGGAGGAAGAGAAACTATTCTCTTCAGGGAACATGGAGATGGCCGAGAGACAAGCTCTCTTCTAGTACTTTACCCCTACAACTCCTACCCTTGATGGAGCGGGAGAGTCTGGCTACAAGGTCAGTCTGGACTTCCTGCTCAGCATCCTCCTCAGAGCCGCCTTGACCTCCTTGTTTTTCAGGCTGTAGATGAGCGGATTTAGCAGCGGGGTCACCACACTGTACTGCAAAGACAACACTTGCTCCAAGGCTGAGCCGGATGCTGGAGTCATGTACCTTAGGAGGAATTACACAAACGAGCGATGTGAACGCAGAAACTCAGGATGAGGATCACAGTACCACTCGCAGCTGTGGTCCATCCCACTCCAGGGGAGTGCAGAGAGGGTATCTCAGGGTACCATCACCATGGCAACGGGAGAGCACTCCCAATGCCAACTGTTTGCTAACTTCTCTTTATGGTCAGGCTGGGTGTTAGTATGGAACCTCACTCCCACAGTCGTTATACCCCATCGGGAAGTTAGCCATTTCTGC